TCATCATTTCCCTGCCACCGAGCTCTCTTCTATCGGCGAGGTGCCCTCTCGGAAGACATCGGGGGAGGAACTACCTTGGCACGGACCTGCAGTACCGYGCCAGCCCGGCACTGCCTCTAGCGATTCTCCTTCATTCGGCGTACGATCTTCTCTTCACTCGCCATCTCTACACCTGCATCACGGAATTACGGCAGTAAGTATGAGAACAAAGAGGCAAAGAAAGTATAGGAAGATAAAGCAACGAAAAGGACATACCAGCCACCCTGTGCATCAACCTACTGAGCATCAGCATCTCCAAGCATGTATACACAGTTACGTCTATCTTGTGGATCATGCTCAGAGCTGACCTTTCCTCCCAAGTAAGCTCACCATACCCAGGGTCAACTCGATATCACGAACGACACAGTAGGACAGAAGGCTGACCAAAAACCTAAAGGAGTTCAGCATCAGTTGCACCGGTAGTACTCAGTACCATTTCACCGTGCTGCGGGCACCTCATTCGGAAATCCTCGGGGATGTCATACATAGCTTGGATCTGAGCATTATCCTTGAGGCCCAACGCATAGGGTGTGGTCCCAAACCGGCGACCAGCTTGCAGTGGAAGCTCGACTTCTACACCAGAGGAACCAACCTCGGCCTCCTCAACCTCGGCCCCCTCACCCTCGGCATCCTCGAAAACCCCAACCTTGGACTCGTAATCGGACCCACTAGAACCAGAAGAGCTAGAAGCGGAAGAAGAATGAGAAGATGAGGAAGACATATTACCGAGCTTGAAGCCGAGGAATAAAAATAAAGCATCGAGCAACGATGACAACACCCCACCGAGCTATCCCAACAACTCCTCTCGCAAATGGAAAAGGGGGAATGCCCTTTCACCCGCTCTTATAGCCCATAGGAATGCGAATTGATGCCAGATCTACGATAGAGATCAAGCATCGCCCTGACAAAGCTTGGGAAGACTAATCGCCACGACTGCTACCGCATGCACGAAGCCTCGAAAATCGAAGTGACGACCATGACAAGCAACGACCAGTGCATTAATTGCTCCAATCCACCCCGCAACATCGGTCCAACCACCGACGCGCATGCCAGAGGTTCGCCTAGGCCCACCGGGTCAACTAGCTACCCTGATTTCCTCGGGACGCCCAACGGAAAAGAAGGCCTCGCTATGTCTCAGTCGAGCATCCCACTCTTCGACTTCGGAACTGGGGGAGTGGTGCTCGGATCCCAAAATTTTAAGAACAAGTTCCCCAGCCGAAGAGCATACCCTCAACTTTGAAGCTTGATAGACTACAACCGAGCTTCACAATAGCTCGGCACCTGTGAAGCCCCCAACTTCGAAGCTCGGCAGACCACAACCGAGCATCATAATAGCTCAGCATCGGTGAGGCCCTCAACATCGAAGATCGACAAGCCACAATCGAACATCACGACAAGCTTGGCACCTGGAGGACCTTGAGCATCACAACAGCTCGACACCTGGGGGCCCTCAACTTTGGAGCTCGGCAAGTCATATCCGAGCATTGCAACGACCTCAGTTCCACAACCCGACAACACCAAAGGAACCCGTCTGTGTAGCTTGGTGCCCCGTGGCCGAGCATCACAACCTCAATTCTGGAGCTCGGCCTCCGATCAATAGTAAAAGACCTTTCCTCAGCATATGGTCGAGCTAAGCTTCGACTTCGGAGGCTCGACACATCATAGCCGAGCATCACAACAACCTCAACTCTGAAATTCAAACACAACTCCGAAGCTCGGTGTGCCATGGCCGAGCATCACTATAGCACAGAAGCTTGACTTCTACTTGGAATCAGAGCCGTTCCTTAGCTCCACCAGGAGGACAGACTTGGAGGCTCAACTCGACACCTCGGCTCTCTACCGAGCTATGCAACCGCGCAACACTTCGAGACAAAAACTCCCCATCCTCGGCTGCAGAACTGGGGGAGTGGTGTTCAGATTCCGAAGTCAGAGCTCGTAGAGTTCTGCGCTCGATAATGGGAAGATTCCTTGGCCATTTTCCATATTGCCCAATTCTCAAGATTTTGACAAGCACTGAAGAACACCAAAGGGGCCAGACACCCATCCCGACATCAACTTGAAGTTCTTCGGTTGAAGAACGAATTGGACTACTTCATTCCTTGACTTCAAAACTGGGGGAGTGGTGTTCGGGTCATGGCTGAGTTGGCCCTACAAGACACATGGCCGCTCAGCTATCACCTTGCCACGTCGGCATAGCTCGACCACGTCGGCCTAGCACGGCCGAGCTACGCTACCACTGTGGCCCCCCATCTTATCGTTCCAACCACGTCAACCACACGTCATATGGACGAGCACAACTACAGATAAGGAGGAATAAGGAAGATGACTTTGCTGGGGAATGGGACTCTATCCCAAATACCTCAGTGGCTAACCTCATCCCGATTTCCCTGAAAGCCCAATCCGAGTAGGACACGGATATTCGGCTATAAAAATGTACTCCATGCTCGAGGTAAGGGATCCCAACTTTTGAGACCGACATTGCTATTTAGCTCGGACCAACATCCTTATAGCTCGCCCCGACCACCTACCACCTCCTACTGACTTGAGCGTCAGAGTGCTTACCCGGGGATAACTCATCGGGCCTCTGACTTTTGTTTCTTTGATCATTGGTTTTGAGGTGCAGCCTCGTCCTTGTAGCACGGCCCTGCCCTGCCAGCAAGGATTATATGGTTGCTTTCCTTAATTCGTGCACCACCTCGGATTAAGCAACATCAAGTATAATGTAATCAATAACCCATTATCCATTGTTTGGGCCAAATGGATTGACAATAGTTCAATCATCCGGATCAATGACGGGTTAAGAACATTTCTGAGTTAGAAATATATGGGTATAGTTTCTACATGCTATTCTCAGCTATTAATAAACCAAGAAGCCTCAAGATAACTAATTTAATGATGATCTCTATGTTCCACCAGTTGATCCAATGGGTGACTTATACTAAATCCACATCTTAAGTGGGTGTTTGGCATCATTGTCGTTTTGTAAGAAAAATGGTGCCACATAGGTGTCACATAAGAGAAACTAGTGCTTCAAATAATGCCCTCTTGTTTGGTACCGTTTTTTCAGAAAAATCGTTGCTCCAGACCACACCTTGGATATCGGGAAAGTGTGGTCTAGAGCAATGCCAAATTCAATGTTTTTTGAGAAAACGGTGCATTGCTGCTTGCCAGCAGTGCAATGATATGGCATCATCTTGGACGTTTGATAATATAGATCAATRTTGAAAATGTTGCTAACAGCATTGATACCAAACAAAACAAGTGTTGTTTTTTCAAAAAACGCCTATGTGGTAGCACCAGTTCCAAACAAAAAATCAGCACCATTTTCTCTTACAACTCCACATGCTCAACATTGTTTTTATGAGAAAACGGTGCGCTGCCAAACACCTACTAAATGGATGGGTTTAGGTGGATCAACTGGATTGGGTTAGAAATTGAAACCTTCAACTTTTATACAAAAGTATTGTTGTAATGGTGTGAATTAACATGATGCAAAGAAGACGTTGAGACAAGGATAAAATAACAATAAAAGAGATAAGGGTTAATTACTTGAATATATCCTCAACTGTTCTTTAAAATTTAAAAACATGCACATATCCAAGCTCGCTCTCTCGTCTTCTATATCATTTGAGCAGCGCAACCAACATTCAGATGGGATTTTAACACATAAACAACTTACAACCTTCATCCTTTCCCCAAACTACTTTTGATTGCATCTCAATTGGACTGACAACTACTAAGGTTGTGTTTGATACTATTGCTACTTCTACATGCAATGTTTTAGATTGGTCAATACAATTCTTATGAGAATATATATTTTTTTTACCACAAACGCTTTGAGTTATTAATACAACATTATGTATCATTATTAATCAAATTTGGTGTTTCTACTATAAGGGGGTGTTCTTTTTTTGGATTTTGAGAGGGTAAAAGTTGGTCAATGGGATTTTGATTCCCATTGACCAAGAAACCATGTTCTTTTTTTAAATTTATGTGGGAACTGGGGGAAAGTTTATTTTCTTAGGGGGAAGTTGCCAACACTTGATTGGAACAAAAATGTCCCTTTTAATAATGGATTTTTATGGCTAAAATGGCTATTGCCTTATTTACATACGAAATAAAAGAACATGGGTAAATGCACTTACCTAGCTCAGATAAGTAATTTACCGAAAAGCAAACGGGCCTAAATACCAACACCTAATACAATGATTATATTTTTTTAGTAGAAGCAATTATTTGATATGATGTGACAAAACAATTCCTTAAAAATTTATATTGGCCAAAACAAAACATTACAAGTAAAACTGCAATAGTATTTATTAAACACAACCTAAATTGAATCGGGTGGGCTGGGCTGAGCCGGGCTCAGGTTGGTCATTCACCCCTAAAATTGGGGCCTAAAGCTTAATCCTGTGATCAACCTTGAATTATTTAATTTAAGCCCAGGCTCAGCCCAAGGACCAAACGCAACCCGTGCTCTGGCCTCAGTAAGTTTGGGTTCGAGTTGGGTCGGCACAAGTTGCACTTTTTCTTGGACAAAACAAACAAGAAAATGAAATCTGGAGGTGCGGGGAATCGAACCCCGTGCCTCTCGCATGCGAAGCGAGCGCTCTACCATATGAGCTACACCCCCATATACATTGATAAGTATGACAGATTCTTTCTTAAAAATTCTTCCTCTTTCTCTCTCTCAATAGAACAGAGTCAAAGAGTCAACTGTATCTAGGGCTAGGGCCAGCCGGCTTGGATTGCATAGTTTGAAGAAGAAGAAGATGAACCGTATGCATGAAGAGTAAAACTAGAATTTAATGGACATGTGAAACGATATTTTGGTCAAACCACAGGGTGTATATTTAAGTAATTAACCCAAAAGATAAAGATTAGAATAGAGAATAACTGCTACAGTACCCTTCATACCCCAACCAAGATTTTATTCAATAATTCAAAAGAAATAAGCAATAGAAACTCTTAACGTTGAAAATTATTCCTTTGCAATGAAAAAAAAATTATACAACAAGAGAGCAACAACTTGTTAAGACAATTAATGTTGTATACAACACCACATAATCACAAAAAATGCAATATATTTAGCCTTTTATTTCTTGTTTGTAACTGCTGTAAGCTCACCCGACCGACTGCTTGGCTATCAAAGACTAGAGAAGATTGGACCAGTGATGGAATGCTCTGCTCACCATGCTGTCACTGCTGGAATGCTCTGTTCATTTCTGAAGAAATTCCCTGGGTCGACCTTGCTCTTCACATATACTAACCTGTCGAAGTTGTTCTTGAAATACTTTCGACCCCAGATGCTAGCTTGTGAGTAGCTTGTATTGCCCTTGTTGTTTTTTCCAATGTCAAGATCTCTGTAGTTGAGATATGCTTCCCTTGGCGACTTGGAGACATAAGGAGTCATGTATTTATACAGCTCTCTGACCCAATTTATATGCCTCTTGATTTCTTGAGTCCCATTTTGTTGCCAGATTATAATGTACTGGATTTTGTATATGTTCCCTTTTCTGTGTGGGAATGGAGTTGCAGATTCTGATATCTCACTCATCCTTCCTCCATAGGGATTTAGCTGCATTACAGGTATCTCCATTTGAAGAAACCTTTTCCATATTCCCTCAAACGCAGATTCCGGAATTGGTTTCTTAACATAGTCGGATTTATTCTTGGAGAGGCTCTTGCTTTGAAGAGTTCTGTTGAGTAAAACCTCCAGTGTACTATCTGGGAATCCACCAAGATACTTCATGGCATCGATCCAACTCATTTCAGTACAGTCCTCTCGTTTCAAGCCCAGCTCTGGGAAGCTCTCGTTCATCAGAGGGAGGAGTCTGTCAATAGTACCGAGGAACATGGAGCTGAACTCAACATTCACTGTTTTGCCGCCTGAACTGGTGCTTGTGAGCGCCAGATTGATTCTCATGAATATGTCTTCATGGAGCTTATGTGCAACGTATTGCCACCTGTGGACGAGCTTCGTTGCTCCTTCTTCTATTGTCTTGGACGGATTGAAAACAGTAACAACTGGTGGGACTGGAACCAATCTCACTTTCCACCGTAGAATGATTCCAAAGCTTGCTGCACCTCCTCCCCTGATGGCCCAGAACAGATCTTCTCCCATGGTTTCTCTGTTGAGGATTTTTCCATTTGCATCGACCATTTGTGCATCAATGACTTGATCAGCTCCGAGGCCATATTTTCTGAGCATGTAACCATACCCACCACCGCCGAGGAAGCCGGAAACGCCTACAGTGTGGCAAACCCCACCTGGGAAGCCATGGACGTTACTCTTCTCTGCAATTCTGTAATACAGTTCGCCCAGGGTCGCACCAGCCTGAACCCATGCACTGTTGTCTTCAATGTCCACAGTGATGGTTTTCAGATTGGACATGTCAACAATGACGAATGGAACTTCAGCCATAGATGAGAGGGCCTCGTAGTCATGGCCTCCGCCTCGTATTCTGATCTCCAAACCATTCTCTTTTGCACAGATAACAGCGGTTTGGACGTGGGATTCTGTGGAAGGAGTAATGATAAAGAGAGGTTTTCGAGCGGAAGACTGCAGGAACCTGAGACTTGTTATAGTAGAGGTGTAGATCGATAGATAAGAGGAGTTATTGGGGGAATAAACCACAGCGGAGATTGGAGAGGAGGGATCAGAATGGAGGGAAAGGCATTGAAGAAATCTCTCCTCCACTGAGGCTGAGGTTGCCCATGGAACCAAAACAAGGATAAAAAATAAGGAAAGTATTGCAGAAGTTGATGAACTCCCCATGATTTTTTTTTTTTTTTTTTTTTCTCTTTACGTGTGTATTTGGTGTGTAGGACAAGTTTATGGGCTTGCGTATTTATACTTTTTTTGTCTGAGTGTTGGCCAAAACCCTAAAAATCCTGATTTTTTTTCTATTTGTTTGACGTAGGTAAGATGATGTACATGCTTGCATTATTAATTTTGTTGATATTTGACTTTCTTTTAGGCTATGTTTGGTTTGAAGAAAAAAGTAAGAGAAGGAAAGGAATGACACTTTCCCTACCTTTTCCTTCAAACCAAACATAGCCTTCGTATTTTATTTGACGATTTCATCTTCAATAAATGGCACCTTTTTATGACTACTACCAAACCATGGAAGATATATAGTTTTACTTGAATACAATCGCATGTTTTACAAAGAAATGGATGACGTGTCCAAGTCATGATTCCGTGTGTTTATCATCTTTGGTCATATATAAAATGCAATATAAATTTCATACATGCGACAAAAATATATAATTATATATACTTTTTAACATATTATATTATATTTTTAACATATTATAAATTATCCATATATAATATATATATGGCTCAAAGTTGAATGGTGAACCACATAGAAAAGTTGACAATGTATTGTGTGTGCGTGTCCAAATTGAACCACAAACAGAATGGTGGTTGTTGGCCAGTGTGATTCAGAATGGATTGATTCCATATCAATGTTTATAACCCATCTAATCTCTTTGATGAATCCCATAGTTCTTGACTTTTGAGGCTATGTTGGGGAAGAAGAGAGATGTATAGTGTGTGAGTGTAAATGATATCATTTTCATGAACCTTGCATATTTGTATTTGCTCTCAAATTATTTGTATTTGCGCTCTTTTCAAACAGATTTGAAACAAAGTCCGTAAGTTCTGCAAACTGATTGGTTCGGATTTGGTAAGAGCATATCCGATCCAATCCAATCCATTAAGAAAATCCGATGAATTCAAATCCGTTGGATTTTTAAAAGTATAATTCAAATTCGAATGTATTATCAGATATCAGATTCAATTAAAATTATATTTATATTATGTAATATAAATATTATATTAAAATGTAAAATATATAATTATATAATATTTCATAATTAATGGACCGGATGGGGTCACAGTGGATCGGATCACTTTTCCGATCCGATGCGATTTGTTAGGATCAAGAGGGATACCCGACAATTAGAGCTTGGTCCAGTGTCCATCCTGGAATTCAACGAAGTCCATGACCAAATAATTAGGACTTTGACAAGCAATCTTTGATCCATTTCCGCGTACATATCCGCCCACACATCACCACAAACTTCATTGAAGTCATCTGGATGCATGTCATGGAACCATCCTTCTTTGTCTTTGTCTTGCCTTTCAATATTAACTTGTAAAGCCAGAGAAAGGCTAATAGATATATGATTCAACGATCAAACATGAGAAGTCGAATTCAATGACCAAACCAAATATAATTCAAACTCTCTCTTAATCCGACTTCAACGTCCTCTCATTCTTCTTATTATTATTATTATATATAATAACCCAACTCAACCGCTAAGCTATTAGGCGTTGCAGAAGTCGTGCATGCATGCAATAGTTCGAATAGCCCGTCATATCTCACTTTCAGGTGGTTGGGATGGAAGAGCAGAACTGGGGACAAGAGATATGATCGACTTCCACCTCTGCACCTCCTCAGAATTCATTGTTATTAGCCTAGCTACATGGTTAGATGGACGGAGAAACAAGAATTCCACTCCATTATAAATCATCAACTTCGGATCTCCTACCCACAAGAATTCCACGCCTCATTATAACCATACATCGAGAACACTTATCCACAAGAAAATCTTCCCGATGTATATCCACATGCAAATTTGGTCAAAATGTATATATGAACGCAAACTTGGTTTACGTTTTGCATTAACAAATTTTGTATTTTGTTTGGTTGTGAATTGTGATAGATACAAACATGAATTTTATTTTAAGACTAGGTCTAACATTGAGTGTAAAAGTTTGCTTCCATTTTTTGGAAGTATACTTTGCTCCTATTTTAATTATTGAAAAAAAAAAAGAAATCCCATATCACATGAACCCTCCCACCAGGAACCCATTAATTAAAGCAATGCTTGTTGAAAAGCAAAGAAAAAAGAAAGCCCATAGACAAATAGAGTGATTATTAATTTAATTTCATAGGGCTACAATTATATCTGTTTTAACTGAATTTGAATTTGGATATGCATG